CTGGAATTAACCAGGCTGGTTATACTGTACCGGACTGGGCCGTGGGCTGGCGCTGGAATTAACCAGGCTGGGTTATACTGTACCGGACTGGGCTGTGGGTTGACGCTGGAATTAACCAGGCTGGGTTATACTGTACCGGACTGGACTGTTGGATTACACTGGAATTAATCAGGCTGTAATATGTTGTACTGGACTGGGCTATTGGGATTGGATAGAATTAACCAGGCTGTAGTGGACTGGGCTGTTGATATTAGATGGGAATTAACCAGGCTTTATTATATTGTACTGGACTGGGCTGTGTGGGATAATAGGGATAATACAGTCTGGTTAGTTCATGTATCATGTTGGACTGGGCTGTGTGGGATTTGATGGGTACTAACCATGCTGTATGCTGCACCAGGCAGGACCTGGTACTATACTGTACAGTTGCACTCGACTTTATAAGCCTGGTCTGAAATCTGCAGTTGACTGGCCAAACTGTACTCTGTTGTGGCACGCCAAGGAGCCGGCCTGGACTGTACTGTGTTAGACTGGTATTCAGTGCTTCTGGTATTGTAAGATTGTAGCATGCTGGGCCAGTGTAATGCACCTATGTCAGATTTGTAAGAGTGAATGTAAGATCTACCTCTTAGCCCCCTCAGCCCCATCAATGGGCGTGCAGTGTGCGTCAGTGTGCCGGTAAGACTGGGTGTTTGTGTTTGTTTGTTTGTTTGTTTGTGTGGGTCCATGTGAGCACAGCTGTGCATGTATTCCAGTACTGTGAGGTCTGGGCTGAGAGAAGTGTCCTCACGGAGATTGTGCATCCTGGGAATCAGATTCTCTGAGGACTGATGAGGAGCTCGTTCTCACAGTTCGCTCAGGCTGCAGAGGAGACATCAGGCATCCCCTGCGGACAGTCAGTCTCTCCCCCGCATGTACAGTAGGAGCAGTGCGGCGCTCTGGTGTCAGGCCGTTCAGAGCTTGGGATTGCACACGAGAGACCTTCCCTCAAGCCCCTGTGAGTTCCCCCTGCTTTACCGCCTGCACGGCGGCCCGCGGGGAGAGGGGGAGCTGGTCCCCTCCAGGCCAGGCGCTGGGAACACGGGGCTGGCGCAGCGCACCTCGTGATGAGCCAGGTTTGTTATCATCAGGAATAAACAAGACCGACAGACCTTAGTGCTCGTCTGGGATCCTGCTTGTACAGTACTTGCCTGCCGGATCATCCAGCGTTTAGCAGCCAGGACAGGGTCTTATTTCGGTCCCTTCCGTCCGCTGTAGCGGCATCTTCGACAGGCCTTCACATGCAGGAGTGATTAACCTGAACAGGGAGGCGAGACAGGAATAAAACTTCGGCTCTGAGCTCAGCAAGGATGAAGGTGGGCAGCAGCTTCCTGCGCTCCGGCCCCTGCGGAGCTGCTTGACCGGACAGGCGATGACGGAACAGCTCTGCACAACACGATCTCACTCCGAGACCGGAAAGCCCAGCGCGCGGGATTGGCAGGGACTGCCGACAAACCCCCAGTGACAGACAGCGAGCAGATACTGTAACACTGCGAAACCTCTGCTCAGCAGCACTCCAGACATGCAAAGTGTCTTGACACACTCACAAGCCCGTGGGGTGTGAAGTGGTGTACAACATCTGTCCTCTCCCTTACCCTAGTGCAGGGGTGTGTTTGTGTGTTTGTGTGTTTGTGTGTTTGTGTGTTTGTGTGTTTGTGTGTTTGTGTGTTTGTGTGTTTGTGTGTTTGTGTGTTTGTGTGTTTGTGTGTGTTTGTGTGTGTTTGTGTGTGTTTGTGTGTGTGAGTGTGTGTGAGTGTGTGTGAGTGTGTGTGTGTGTGTTGAAGTCCTGGTATTAATGACTCAGGAGACACTGGAATAATCCACAGTAATCCTGCAGCTGTCAGATCTCTGACCTGCATCTGCACACGAACACACAGCTCAGTGCTCTGAGGGACACGCCTGCTCTCTCACTCTCTCTCACACACACACACTTTACTGTAATTCCACCCCTCTCTGAAGTCCCCCACAAAGGCACCTTCACTTTCAGTGTCGCTTTGCTGTGATTTTTCCCAAAGATAACCTGTCAGGATCCTGTTGCACAGCGGTTGCATACCCTCCAGGTTTTCTCAGTTGCCCTGTCAGTCATTTAGAAGCCACATAAGGCTGTGGGTGTTCCGGCCCCCCCTATGCAAGTGCGTGTGTGCTGACGGACCTGTGGGTTTCAGCAGATGCAGTCCACAGCATGTACTAACCCCTGGGGAATGGATCAGACTGCTCTCCAGTGGGAGCCTGACCCGGTGTCCCATGTTGAATTCCCTCAGGACCATTGCCAAGCCACAGAGAGCGCTTTCTTCTCCTTTCCTGCCGGGGAATTCTGCTGTGCCTCCTCAGCTTTCTCCTTCCTCCTCTTTGTCCCGTCTGGTCTTTCCCTGTGCTGCTGCTGCCCTGTCTTCTCTCCCACTGCCCTGCGTGTCTCTTCCTCTCCGCTTTCCTCCTTTCTGCGTGTGAAGATCTCAAACACGGGCCTTTGTCTCCCCCTGGTGGCCAAAGTGTATCACCCCCTTCCCCCCCCAGCGAAAGGCAGGACATCTCAGCTTGTGCATTGCAGGTTTTCGTACTAGTACTAGCTGAGCTCTCAGTTGTACAGCAAGACTTTAAAGTCTATAATTTGCTGTTTTCTCAACTTTTTTTTTAAAAGCCTTGTTCCTCTTCTCCCAGGACTCTGTGCAGAAGTACCCCTGTGGTGGAGAGCACACCCCCAGCCCGATCGCCAGCACCCAGCCTCTTGAGGTCACGCCCATTATTGCCATGGACACGCTGCTCTCGGCTGTCACCACGACAACAGAATCGGGACATACCATTGTCCTGCTGGGGGACAGTCAGGGGAGACTCCACAAGGTATAGGTGCAGTCTCCTACCTCCCTTCTGCTTGCAGTGTGCTCTTCCAGATTGCTTCTTTGTTGTAATTATGGTAAGACGACGGACTGTTAACTGTTAATTGCTCTTCCTCCTCTTCCACCTCCCTCTTTACCCCGTCTCTCTCTCACTGTCTCTGCCATGTGATCCCATCTGTTTCTGCCTCCATGATTTACCCCTTACCTTGCCCCTTGGCCTGTCCCTCCCTCTCCCTCTCTCTGTGCACAGGTGCTGGTTCAGTCAGGCGTGGGGCAGGTATACGAAACAGTCCAGGTGGACCCGGGCTCCGCGGTCAGCGCTGACCTTCTGCTGGACGGCGAGAGGGAGAACGTCTACGTCATGACTAGGGCCAGGGTACGTGTGCCGTGTGTACGCAGCACGTCACGGGGGCGGTCGGTGAGAGTTCTGTGTGCTGGCGTGACGGCGCCCCTGTTCTCGGTCCGTCTCCTGCACAGAAGTGAAGATGGTGCACTCTTTAGGTCCCTGCAGATGTTATAAGTGATAGGTGGAGCTTTTATAGGTGCTGTTACACTCTCTGCTACGTCTGTTTTAAATGCTGTAACAGTAAGGGACGCTTACAGATATTTACCCTGAATCCCCGCAGTTAAGGACTGTTACCCAGCCATCGATGGTTCAACTGATTCAGATCTTGTAGTACGCAGGGGTGGGCATCCCTAGTACGTGAGTGTTGGGGTCCTGCAGCTTTATTAGCTGGTTAAGACATGGAACACAGCTGATCCGACTTCCTGTCCGCTTAATTGCCTTGATTAGGTCATTAAGTTATTGGGGTGGAGTCATGGAGTCCCGGCTCTGCCCTGCCCTGTGCGGTGCTGCCTGTCCGCGGTGTGGCGGTGTCTCTCTGTCCTGTCCCGCTGTCAGGGGCGCGCGGCTGACCCTCTCCCTCTGTCCCCAGGTCACGAAGGTGCCGGTGTCCCAGTGCGGGCGGCACACAGACTGCCCGTCCTGTCTCTCCGCCAGGGACCCCTACTGCGGCTGGTGTGTGCTGGAGGGCAGGTAACCGAGCAGAGGCGGGCCGGAGTGACCACGCTGACCGATAGGCGGGCAGGGCAGGGGGCTTCGCACGCTCGTTCGGCACGTTCAAGCAGGGAGCTTCCATGCTCGCAGCTGAAGAAGGCTCCACAGCCGAAACGTTCTCTCTTCTTCTCAGCATGAAATACACCTTCACTTGTTCCACTCCTGGCTGATCTGCTTGGCTGGCTGGGAGGCCCCAGCAGAGACAATTGCCACATGCATCTGTTCATTGCTACAGACGTGTGGTGGCACATTGGAGCCATCGGTCACAGCATTAAGACCTGGTGCTGTGAAGATCGCAGTGACAGACCAGTGTACGTTCGGTCAGAGCAGCGTGGCAGAGCCGGGGGCGCCGGTGGAGTCCTGCCCTCTGCCCCGCTGTGCTCTGGCCTGCGGCGGAGCCTGAGGCTCTCTCTCTCTCCCCCCCCCCACGCAGGTGCTGCAGGAAGCTGGAGTGCTCTCGCCACCAGAAGCCCAACCACTGGCTCTGGAGCTACGACCCCCAGAACCGGTGTGTCGCCGTGCAGAGCATCAGCCCAGCCAATCAGAGCCGGGACGAGCAGACGCAGGTGGGGGTGGCCTCCTCCGAGCCCGTGGGCAGGGAGACCGCTGATGTCATTGTCGCCTTCCCCTCCGCCCCCGTGTAGACGTGGGTTTTGCTGGTTTGACTACTGGGGTCCTCCCTCCTCCTCCCCCTGTCCCAGGTGTCTCTCTCGGTGCCTCTGCTGCCGTTCCTCTCGGAGGCGGAGTCTCTCTCCTGCACGTTCGGAAACCTCCCCGCCCAGCCAGCGGTCGTCACGGCAACCAGCGTCACTTGCCTGTCTCCCTCTCCGGAGCTCCTCCCACCCAGCGCCGCAGGGAGAGGTGAGGGGGTGCCCATCCCTACTTCATCCTTCTTCCTCGATTTCTTCATTCTCGCCCCCGTCTCCCTCTTACTTTAAATCACTTCACTCCCGTTGTCCCTCAGACCTCTCTCCCCTCTCTGTGTGCTCCATAACTGTCCTGCCTGTCTCTCTGTCCCTCAGATCATGTAGTGGTGCCAGTGGCGGTGATGTTTGGAGACGTGACAGTTGCCCAGACTCTCCTCACCCTCTACGACTGTGGAGCCACTGGCCGGCTCAACGTCACCTCTCCGTGAGAGACCAGTCTTTTACACAAATTTAAATGAAAATTTAAAAAGTGATTGTTTTACACTAGTAGACGTTTTTTTTATTAGGATGGTGTGTGTAATGTGTGAGCTCCCCCTGCTGGCAGGCTGTGACTCAATGCGCTGTGAGCTCCCCCTGCTGGCAGGCTGTGACTCAACGCGCTGTGAGCTCCCCCTGCTGGCAGGCCGTGTGTCAAAGCGCTGTGAGCTCCCCCTGCTGGCAGGCCGTGTGTCAACGCAGTGTGAGCTCCCCCTGCTGGCAGGCGTGACTCAACGCGCTGTGAGCTCCCCCTGCTGGCAGGCGTGACTCAACG